ACTGGTAAATACGGAGGCATACAGTTGTATCTAGGCTATTAACTAGAAATGGCACTGGTAAATACGGAGGCATACAGTTGTATCTAGGCTATTAACTAGAAATGGCACTGGTAAATACGGAGGCATACAGTTGTATCTAGGCTATTAACTAGAAATGGCACTGGTAAATACGGAGGCATACAGTTGTATCTAGGCTATTAACTAGAAATGGCACTGGTAAATACGGAGGCATACAGTTGTATCTAGGCTATTAACTAGAAATGGCACTGGTAAATACGGAGGCATACAGTTGTATCTAGGCTATTAACTAGAAATGGCACTGGTAAATACGGAGGCATACAGTTGTATCTAGGCTATTAACTAGAAATGGCACTGGTAAATACGGAGGCATACAGTTGTATCTAGGCTATTAACTAGAAATGGCACTGGTAAATACGGAGGCATACAGTTGTATCTAGGCTATTAACTAGAAATGGCACTGGTAAATACGGAGGCATACAGTTGTATCTAGGCTATTAACTAGAAATGGCACTGGTAAATACGGAGGCATACAGTTGTATCTAGGCTATTAACTAGAAATGGCACTGGTAAATACGGAGGCATACAGTTGTATCTAGGCTATTAACTAGAAATGGCACTGGTAAATACGGAGGCATACAGTTGTATCTAGGCTATTAACTAGAAATGGCACTGGTAAATACGGAGGCATACAGTTGTATCTAGGCTATTAACTAGAAATGGCACTGGTAAATACGGAGGCATACAGTTGTATCTAGGCTATTAACTAGAAATGGCACTGGTAAATACGGAGGCATACAGTTGTATCTAGGCTATTAACTAGAAATGGCACTGGTAAATACGGAGGCATACAGTTGTATCTAGGCTATTAACTAGAAATGGCACTGGTAAATACGGAGGCATACAGTTGTATCTAGGCTATTAACTAGAAATGGCACTGGTAAATACGGAGGCATACAGTTGTATCTAGGCTATTAACTAGAAATGGCACTGGTAAATACGGAGGCATACAGTTGTATCTAGGCTATTAACTAGAAATGGCACTGGTAAATACGGAGGCATACAGTTGTATCTAGGCTATTAACTAGAAATGGCACTGGTAAATACGGAGGCATACAGTTGTATCTAGGCTATTAACTAGAAATGGCACTGGTAAATACGGAGGCATACAGTTGTATCTAGGCTATTAACTAGAAATGGCACTGGTAAATACGGAGGCATACAGTTGTATCTAGGCTATTAACTAGAAATGGCACTGGTAAATACGGAGGCATACAGTTGTATCTAGGCTATTAACTAGAAATGGCACTGGTAAATACGGAGGCATACAGTTGTATCTAGGCTGTTAACTAGAAATGACACTGGTAAATACGGAGGCATACAGTTGTATCTAGGCTATTAACTAGAAATGGCACTGGTAAATACGGAGGCATACAGTTGTATCTAGGCTGTTAACTAGAAATGACACTGGTAAATACGGAGGCATACAGTTGTATCTAGGCTATTAACTAGAAATGGCACTGGTAAATACGGAGGCATACAGTTGTATCTAGGCTATTAACCTCTGTAATTAATCACGAGTTAAGCACAATGGTATTAATTCTGATTACTTTCCAAATAATACACACAAAAAAATCGCTCTATCTCAATTAGAAGTTATTCTGCTAATTTCATAGATTGTCAATGATTGAGAAACGAATTTTGTAAAATAAATACTGCCTGCCGGTTGATATAGATCTGGCAATCTTGTTTACTGTAACAGTGTTTTGGTTGGAGAATCACCTCGTGCTCTGTTATCTATTTTAGATGTAAACTAGCACACACACACACGTGCATGTATGTTGATAAGATTTTTTAAAAAGTGGACATGCACGAGAGGATGTAAAATGGTTGGCTTTAACGAAGAATTGTCAAAGATTTCAACTATTTGGATATGCTGTTAAATTCTTACGATTTTTTTTTAATAAAACCCAGTAACAAGTACCAAAAAGCCCGGGGGGGGGGGGGGGGGGGGGGGTGAGGAGGGGGCTATTGTGTCATCAAATAAATTAAGTAACAGTCATTTGGATTTCGAAACGTAAAGATCAGTTTTATACATTTAAATTAGTAGAAGAGTAGGGCTAATGGGATGCTGTGTCTTCCTGCAGCTACATGTACATAGCAGTTTAGAAGGTATGTTTCTGAGAAAAAAGACTTCAGGTGTTGGCAAACACATTGTAAAACGATATCAAAATACTGCATCTAAGTAACACAATGAGACAGTTGAGACAATAATACTAGATACTTATGAATGGCTAACCATGTCCCTGTAAACGCTATATGTCCCGAATTCATCGTTATTGAAATACATGAAAGCTTATTACTATTTCTAATTCTATCATATAGGTAAGTGCAAATGATCATATACTTCCTGATAATTACTATTTCTAATTCTATCGTATAGGTAAGTGCAAAAATCATATATTTCCTAATAATTACTATTTCTAATTCTATCATAAAGGTAAGTGCAAATGATCATATACTTCCTGATAATTGCTATATCTAATTCTATCATAAAGGTAAGTGAAAATGATCATATATTTCCTGATAATTTCTATTTCTAATTCTATCATATATGTAAGTGCAAATGATCATATATTTCCTGATAATTACTGTTTCTAATTCTATCATATAGGTAAGTGCAAATGATCATATATTTCCTGATAATTACTATTTCTAATTCTAACATAAAGGTAAGTGCAAATGATCATTTACTTCCTGATAATTACTATTTCTAATTCTATCATATATGTAAGTGCAAATGATCATATATTTCCTGATAATTACTATTTCTAACTCTATCCTAAAGGTAAGTGCAAATGATCATATACTTCCTGATAATTACTATTTCTAATTCTAACATAAAGGTAGGTGCAAATGATCATTTACTTCCTGATAATTACTATTTCTAATCCTATCATATATGTAAGTGCAAATGATCATATACTTCCTGATAATTACTATTTCTAATTCTAACATAAAGGTAAGTGCAAATGATCATATACTTCCTGATAATTACTATTTCTAATTCTATCATATAGGTAAGTGCAAAAATCATATATTTCCTAATAATTACTATTTCTAATTCTATCCTAAAGGTAAGTGCAAATGATCATATACTTCCTGATAATTATTATTTCTAATTCTATCATATAGGTAAGTCCAAATGATCATATATTTCCTGATAATTGCTATATCTAATTCTATCATAAAGGTAAGTGAAAAATGATCATATATTTCCTGATAATTACTATTTCTAATTCTAACATAAAGGTATGTGCAAATGATCATATACTTCCTGATAATTATTATTTCTAATTCTATCATATAGGTAAGTGCAAATGATCATATATTTCCTGATAATTACTATTTCTAATTCTATCATAAAGGTAAGTGCAAATGATCATATATTTCCTGATAATTGCTATATCTAATTCTATCATAAAGGTAAGTGAAAATGATCATATATTTCCTGATAATCACTATTTCTAATTCTATCATATAGGTCAGTGCGAATGATCGTATACTTCCTGATAATTGCTATTTAAATGCTATTATGAATACTTATCAGGTTATGCTTGTTAATAATTTAAAAATTATGATAATTGAACTGTGGGTGGTCGTGTGGTGCAGTGTATAACACACTCGGCTTTCACCAAAACAGTCGGGGTTTAATTATCTGATTTGACGTGAAAAGGTATAGGGTCACCTGTCTGACCACTTGGGTTTTCCTCCGGTACTCCTGTTTCCTCTCACATACGTCTCCATTAGCGCTACCATCCGGGTTAACAACAGTGATTTATATAAGTTGATAGAACTTGGTTCGCAATTGTTGTAAATTAAATAAAGTTTAATTTTTAATACTTTGAATGAATTGTAAATATACAATCAGAATTGAGTAGCTAGGATTTCTATTGAACGGCAACTCTAGATCTGAACGTAAGATCAGGTATATGCTGATAACATACGGAGTTTTATTGAATACAACAGATGTTGTCGCATCTAGAAAATCTTTGTAAATGTTCTCATTAGTTTGTAATTTTACATGAGAAAACCTGCTGACCAATTGTATGGGAAAATAATTCATGTATTCGTTTGACTTCACTTAGCATTTATATAGAAAGTGTTAGAAAAAAAACGTGCTTCATACTCGTTATGTCGAGGATAAATTCAAATTCATTATGCAGTTTCCTTTTATTTCAAATTCATTTTTGTCAAATAATGTAATATTAAAACTTTGGCGTGACAAAGACTTTAGTTAACACTCCTTGATATGGCATAACATTATTTTACCACACGCTTATAAAATGTACGCATCTAATATGGTCTTGTACAAAATCGCGTTTGAATATCCTCAGTGGAAGTTCAAATCGCCACATTCCGAAGTCTACGATTTCAACCAATCAGTGTGATCACCCTTTTAATGGATGACTTGGGGGTTGATAATAAAAGGAAATTGTGGTAAAAACTATTAAATAATCATTACGGTAATCGTATTGCAAGTATTTATATTAATTTCACCGAGTTGACGGCTGTCCAATAATTTCAGACGTTATCTATGAAATATATATTTTAGGATCAAAGTTCACAAACATAAATAACACCATCTGTTCCATCTATATCTCGGGACGAATTGCCCTGATTATTTTTACAAATGTATGTCTACTATAATTATAGCACTGATATTTTAAGCTCTCATTGATTAAGTTAGGTACATCGGCTGTTACCGAGAGTTAATTGACATCAGACAACCTTGTCTACATTTACAGCTCCAGGATACTATCACATATAAATCAACCCACAGAAATGACATTTCAAGTATGTAACAAGATCAATATGAATCAACAGAAAGTGTTTATAACGTGTCTACGTAGTCAAAAACGTTGTCTGCCTAAGACACAGCTACGTAAGTTAGAAGACTTGGTCCGCCATAGACACATCTACGTAAGTTAGAAGACTTGGTCCGCCATAGACACAGCTACGTAGGTTGGAAGACTTGGTCCGCCTAAGACACAGCTACGTAAGTTAGAAGACTTAGTCCGCCATAGACACAGCTACGTAAGTTAGAAGACTTAGTCCGCCATAGACACAGCTACGTACATTGTAAGTTAGACTTGGTCCGCCTAAGACACATCTACGTAAGTTAGAAGACTTAGTCCGCCATAGACACAGCTACGTAAGTACGACTTGGTCCACCTAAGACACATCTACGTAAGTTAGAAGACTTGGTCTGCCATTGACACAGCTACGTAAGTTAGAAGACTTGGTCTGCCATAGACACATCTACGTAAGTTAGAAGACTTGGTCTGCCATTGACACAGCTACGTAAGTTAGAAGACTTGGTCCGCCTAAGACACAGCTACGTAAGTTGGAAGACTTGGTCCGCCTAAGACACAGCTACGTAAGTTAGAAGACTTGGTCTGCCATAGACACAGCTACATGTACGTAAGTTAGACATGTATGTAGTGATACGTAATTATCGTTTATGTAGAGTTATCCATTTTACATGTCAAATCGCGTTGGTTCCGTTCTCATTGCTCCATTTATTTTGGTAAATTCTTTCTGTCTACCAGGAAACAACTCAGCACTTATGTTTTCTACTAGTTAGGCCGTATGCTATGCTGAATAATCCATGTAAATCCCTGTCTACTATGGTTAAATAGTTTTTTACTGTGTCGTTGGGGACCCACATATAATGTAACTCAATGCTACATTGGACGTCAGACACAATGACTGGTGCCGCGCGTCGTCCAGGATAACCTTCAGATGTTTTTCTCCTCAGAATTTGTGTTGATGTCTCGTCATTTCCTATTGGTATGGACATACTCCTGATATGTTAATTCTCAAAATGTTTTCTTGTCTGTTTAGATAAGCGATGAAACAACTCCTGGCTTTAGAAGGTTTACTTCTACTTGGATCAAACATCGTGATCTGTGCTTACGGTAAAATATTAATAACTTTATATATTCATTGAAAATCAAAATTTAAACTGACAGGTAATTACGAGTAACAGATGTTTATGTAACACTCGTTCAATGTAAACTAACTTTACCAACAACGTGATTGCGTAATGTATATAAGTTTACCATTAAGACGATTCAGAGTTATAAAACGTTTTCTGTGTATGCTTATTATTATTATCTTTACCTAATGTATAAGTATTCCCTGTAACAGGACCATGCGTAATTGCCCCCTATTACCGAGGCAGCTGGGATGTGGTCAGTTCAGAGGTTGTCCTCAAACTGGGGAGGACACAGGTCACCTCTGTCATAGAAGGACAAGATCGACAAACATTTAACTGTGTACAAAAGAAAGGAAATATACTTCTCCTAAAGACAACGACGTAAGTTTACATACACTGTACTGTGATGAACATCAGTCACAGAATCCACACTGCTTTAAAACGTGAGTTTGTTTGGGTGTTTTGGTCTAGTAAAAGAACAATTGTTCAGCGACATACAATTAATGACGCCCTGTTATGGAATTCTTGCTGTTCCAGAGACACGAAAGGTCAGTGTGGTGTTATCTGTCTCCTGTTTGGAGAAATGGCCGATGCCGGTGTAACTATAGACAGACTTAACCGTGAGTACTATAGTAATGGTAGTAATATTTGTTGTTGTGGAGTAGTAATAGAGTTATTGGTAGAAGTAGTGTTAATATTATCGAAGTGAGGAAATGTTGACGTTTTTCGCATTAAGAAAATCATCGCAAAAATATCCGCACGCAAATACATCTGTATAGTTTATAGGTATAGGGAATATATAGATTGATAGTTTATAAATATCTAGATTATATAGATTTATAGTTTATAAATATATAGAATATATCGATTAATAGTTTATAAATATATAAAATATATCGATTTATAGTTTATAGATATAGATTTATAGTTTATAGATATATAGAATATATAGATTTATAGTTTATAGATATATAGAATATATAGATTTATAGTTTATAGCCTTGCCTGTTTTAAGGACGTTCAAACAAACAAATAAAGGCAACAACAGCTTTGTTTATTACACTTTACGTCATTAGCCTGTACAATAATTGAAATATGTGATAATTTTATATTAGGCCATTTGAAAAATGAAAATGAATCTGCATATTTTTCTTGTTGTGACATGTATCAAAACAGATCTACTGCAGAGCTGATAAATGTGGAGTAAACTATGACTGATAGCCAAGGATGACTAATATATCCTGAAGATTGTATAATCCCATAGCATAGGCCGAACGGTTCACCAATGTAATACCTCCTATACGGATTCTGCATACTCACTGTACAGATGGTAGTTTGGTAATCATGACAGACAGACAGACATATTCTTTATTTCCTCCATATCGAATTTACATGTCTTACATGAGTGAACTGTTACAATAATTTACTCGTACAATTATAGAAAACATGGTATATTAATGTCATATTGTTATGTTATCAACACTGCAGATTATTTACATACTTTATTGGTCAGTACAACTGACCTCTCAGAAATTTCGATTCACTTCTCGGGAAAACTGTTGACTTCAGAAAGCATGTGCTCTACACAGCGTGCAACTCAGATGATGCAGTTCTCCCATTCATCATCATCTATTTCCATCACCATTCTACTACCTAAGAGAAACAGGTACTGATCGTCTTCTTCCAACAAATCAAATTTAACATAATCAATAACCTTTAGCGTATTTACAACATGCTCTAAAAGCTTATCCCTACTGCTGAATAAAGATGGACATTGTATAAGGAAGTGCTTTGCTATCTTGTCTGTTGCTTTACGGCACAATTTACAAATTACACAATCAGCCCATGTCCGATATGAGAGCTTTACTAATTCCGCAAGTGTCCGTGTCAGTTTTGGATATTTCAAGCTTAATTCCCACAGAGGGTTGGGGCCCATATACGGATGTATGCACTTATAATGACTTAGTAGCACATTGTGTTCACATTCACAACACCATTGATTGAAATGAAACTGTTCAGTAACGTTTTTGACAAAGAGCTTCCATTGTCTTGAACTGCATGTTAAAGATGAAAGAACGAATTCAAGAAAGAACGAGTGTATTCCAAATTTTAACATTGTGCCTGATATATCCTTAATAAAACTGGCACTACAGAAAAGGTACTTTCCAAATACAAAGTTGCATACTCGGATAAGAAATAGGCTTTTCCAAACGAAGTCAGTACTGGCATTGCATAACTTATTCCAAAAGAATAATTTGCGTTTTTCGACTTCACACCAAACATCCGGTAGTCCAAGAGCCCTTGTTGTTATTGCTGATGATGATGTTTTTTAAAACCCTGACATCTCCTAGCTGCGTACCTTTGCGTTCGCTCCAGCTCGCGTTTGGATGACTTGGTTGGATCTGCCCATAATTCACATCCATACAATATAGCTGGGAGGACAACCGATTTGATAATGCGTACACTTGTTAATGGATTCATTCCGTTCTGGTGTATGCCAACACTGATAAGGCTGTTAACGGTTCTACGTCCTTTTCCACAAGAACTAGCGATGTGCATATCGGGTTTAAGGTTATATCATAATGTTATTCCAGCGTACATTTTTGATGTTGTCCATGTAATCGGTGTATTTCCTAAAGAACACGAAGCCTTTAATTCACTTTGCGGTCGTTTCCGATTTGTAAATTGCATTAATGAAGATTTTGAACAATTATAGTTAAGTCTTCATAGCTTTGCATATGTGTGGACAATGTCTAACTTCATCTGTAGATTTCTGATCGACGCAGCCAAAAGTAAAGTTTCATCTGCTAGGAAAACACACCGAATATGGAGGTTGTGGACATCTAGTCCAAGACCTGCTTCTTCCAGCCTAACCGTCAAATCATCAATCATATTTAAGGAAGAGCCAAGCAGAGAGAGTCCCCCCTTGACCCCTTGCCCTATAGGGTACGCATCGCTCGTTTCCCCATCATAAAGAACACATGCCGTCACATCAACAAACGAGTTATGAAGAATCCGCCAGAATTTACCGTTGATGCTTAGCCGACACACCTTCAATAGCAACCCCTGTATCCAAACACTATTAAAGGCTTTTGCGTTGTCAAGAAACGCTGCAAAGACGTTTGAATTGCGCTCCAGATCGTGACAAATTGATTCTTTTACGGTAAATGCGGCTGTAATGCTGCCACATTGTGGTCGAAATCCCTGTTGCAACTTGTGTGGAAATCCAATTTTTGAACAATGTTTTGATATTCGCTGATACATGATTTTTTCAAATAGTTTTTGTAATACTGGTGTCAACGTAATGTCCCTGTAATTATTCATGTCAAGACGGTCTTTCTTCCCGCCTGTAAACAAAGTGATAACGATTCCTTTTTGAAATGCTTTGGATAGTCCATGTATCAAAACAGATCTACTGCAGAGCTGATAAATGTGGAGTTAACTATGACTGATAGCTAAGGATGACTAATATATCCCGAAGATTGTATAATTCCATAACATAGGCCGAACGGTTCACCAATGTAATACCTCCTATACGGATTCTGCATACTCACTGTACAGATGGTAGTTTGGTAATCATGAAAACTCGCATTAATGTGAACCACGATTTTGGTTACAATTAATGCATACACTTTCATGACCTATCAGCTTGATGAAAAAATCAAAATCCAAGTATTCACATGATTATATTTCCCCTTCTAGCTGTTCCCATGAACGGTAGTATCATGGACCCACAGACGATTGCTACCGATGTTACCATGACGATCGACGACGTTTGCCGTCAGACGAAACCGTCGTACATTAGAACTGCATACATAAAGCGTAAACGACGTGAGTATGGCTTTAGGGTTACCTGCTCGTTTATACAAATATGTATAAAATCAAACATATTTTCTTTTAATCAATACTACGTAACATTATAATCAGACTACTGCTAGAAATGTCTAGCTCTATTAATGAGAAGAATAATGTACCGAAGTGTTAAAAAACATAATTTGATCTTGAAATGGATTAAACTAGGCAAAACATTAGTAAAGGAAACATTAACAACGAGATCATTGAAAAACTTCAAGGAGAATATGGCCAGGTGTTCCGGAAGGGTAAACGTCTTTTACTTCATCGACTGCACCCGCCATGTAAATCTAAGTGTTCCAACTTATTCAAATATAATGTTGTTTTATTAATTTTATTAATGTGAACAGATATATATATATATATATATACAATGTACATCTTCCGACACTGCGAATTTGAGTTGACACCTGATGTCTTTCGTATTTACATGGGTCCTCGGTTCCTAATGAAGCTGTTCGTGTCGACTTTGATTTCAGGCTTTGTCCCTGTCTGTTGACATTGTGGTGTATGATTATGTCTTTTGATACATTTAATCTGTATGCTACTGGGCTGTTTGTAGCTGGTTTATGTAGCTTTTCTGAAGCATACAGGGGAACATGGAACTCCACTCTATCAGGAGCCGATCACACGGAGATAAAGAAGAATTCACTGGATATTGTCTTTGCTGGAGGTTTCTTTCTGTCTCTCGTGTGTGAGTGTCGAGACCACAGCGCGTACCTGTTAAGGTAAGCATACGTCATGTACATGCTCAGTGTTAAACAAATCTGATGTTCTTAAGCAGCCCAAAGAAGCTTCACTGATCTCTCAGGGAAAATCATTTTTGGAAAGCAAAACGTATCATTTCAATATAAAATAATGTGGAACTATATATGTATTAAGGAAGCAACAAATTGGCATGTACCGCTGGAACACCAACGTTTAGTTTGTGGGGCTCCGGACGATGTTTTTCATTTGGTATTAGTGTCCCTATTTTGGGAAAATTGACATTTTGTATTAAGTTTTGCTCCATTTGAACTTGTTTTTAGCATTTTGTTCTGTTTTCCTGAGATATTTCAGTGTTTCGGATGACCAAAGAAATATTTAAGGAGACTTAACTATACCATCTCAACGGAGTATAACTCAGAACGCGTACATGGTAGTACGACACTCCATCGTGTCACTACAACCTATAATGTGTATATGATTATATGTTATATTTTATATTTGTCATTTCTTCTATAATTAACCATCCCAAGGACTTTACATGTTTACGACAGGGCTTCTTTGATAACGGACTAAGCGATCAGTTAACATTTTTGCCGGACAATAATAAGAATAGGTTAAATCTTTTTTTTTTTTCAAATGGCAGAGTTCTAATATTTTTTCCCCCTCAGAACTGCAGTCGAATTAATGAACAACATGGACGGGTTCATGTGTGTAACTGTAGCAACGCTTCCAACGGGCAAACCTTTGATGACGATTCTACAATGTAAGTTATTTCTAAACATTTTCTTCAGGTTGGTAAGTATGGATTATGAAAAGTTCTTTTTACACAATCAATATAATTTTCTATGTGACGTTCCGATTACTAGTACGATATGTACACTGTCACCTTCATCAGAAAAATGACCAGTGAAGCGTATGCACACAATGGTGGAAAATGTGTACGAGTTGTCCACAAAATTGATGTCGATTTCGGCTACGCTGTATATGTACAATAGTTGTTATATATATACCGAAATGACTCGACGTGCGATAGTCTTTGAGCCCTCTCGTCTCGATTTAGGAATCGAAGAGTAGCTGAATCGAATCATTTCGGTATATATATAACAACTATTGTACATACGTTTATAGCGTAGCCAAAATCGACACCTTTGTGTGCATACGCTTCACTGGTCATTTGTCTGATGAAGGTGACAGTGTACATATCGTACTAGTCATCGAAACGTCACATAGAAAATCGTATCATAATAATGTAAGTAATTGTTTAAAGAACATGCATGCACATATGTCAAAATGATTCATGTTTAAGAATGTGTGCGATTTAGTTTTATTTCCAAAACTAATGCGAAGTGTTATAAACACAAACGAAGGACAATGCGCTATTCAAACACTTGTTAATATATTTCTCTCAACATCAATATAGATATTATAGATTTTAATGACGTCACCGTAACGGGACAGGAAGACAGCACTGATGTCATCAAACGTTCAGTCAGGTGACATTAAATGATACTAGAGGAGAGAGAATCATTGTGATCAAGAAAATAAAGTCAAACATGGTGTCTCATAATTGATGTTGCGAACGTTATCATCTACTTAATGGTAGATATAAATAGTCTTAATGACTGATACTAATTAATGGTAGATATAAAAAGTCTTGATGACCGATACTACTTAATGGTAGATATAAATAGTCTTAATGACTAATACTACTTAATGGTAGATATAAATAGTCTTAATGACTGATACTACTTAATGGTAGATATAAATAGTCTTAATGACTGATACTACTTAATGGTAGATATAAATAGTCTTAATGACTGATACTACTTAATGGTAGATATAAATAGTCTTAATGACTGATACTACTTAATGGTAGATATAAATAGTCTTAATGACTGATACTACTTAATGGTAGATATAAATAGTCTTAATGACTGATACTACTTAATGGTAGATATAAATAGTCTTAATGACTGATACTACTTAATGGTAGATATAAATAGTCTTAATGACTGATACTACTTAATGGTAGATATAAATAGTCTTAATGACTGATACTACTTAATGGTAGATATAAATAGTCTTAATGACTGATACTACTTAATGGTAGATATAAATAGTCTTAATGACTGATACTAGTAAAAACATACCATGTACCGTGTTAATGATGTAATATACTTATAATTCTTTCCAACGAGCATAAGTTACAATGTGAATACATCGAACAAACATTTCATTACGATTTTGCGTTTTCCTTTCTCCATCTAGCTGGTCAGTTTTGGAATGGTGCCTTGGCAACAGTTCCTCATCTACAGCCACTGTTACTGGCTAGGGATTGTCCGATGGAGGCAACTCCTGGAATGGATGTCATTCTTTACCGGGACTAAACGTCAATAATCGTACGGGACCTGTTTATCTGCAAGTGATCGCAACTATTGGTGCTAGATTTGACGATGTGTGATACGAAGTACAAGAGACAACTGCCTAACCTTGTAGCACGTGTAAAAGTTGCCACTTAGAAGTACATCACATTCAAAACTACACTAGCAGTTTAGATTAGAGACGTTTTTCTTTTAGGAGTTGCAATAAGCCTATTTTGACGTATAAACTGTTGAATAATGACTCCCCAATGTACCCAAGTGAAAAACATGATTCACATTTAAATGACCTATTCATACAAATGCAAATATAATGTTTAACCTAGGAGATACTAGTATTTTAGTAGTTAGTTTCCTTTAACACTTACATCTCGATAATTTTCCTAAAAAATAGAAAGATATAACCAAACAATTTGACCAGAAAGGGATGTTCACCAATATAATAAATTCCTGTGAAAGAAAAACAAATGGTCTTCCATTGTGACATGAATTTTATCTCCATCATTTCCGTCTATCAGCGTCTAGGAAGTATGCCAATCATATAAAGCTCCCAGTGATCATCATTAAGCCGTAGTAAGTTTCTATTACCGAAAATAACACAGAACTGTTGATCGTCCTCCATATATGAGAACCGCACGTAATCTGTCACCTCGAGTATATTTACCATACGGTCATATAATCTGTCACCTCGAGTATATCTACCATACGGTCAAATAATCTGTCCCTACTTTGACAAAAGACTTGGGCATTTTATTACAAAGTGGATGCCAATATTATTTGTTAGTTTTTCACATAATTTACATTTAACAATATTGCTCTCGTATGTAAAAGACAGCTCTATCAGTTCAAGAAATTTTCAGACAAAAGCTGGGTATTTTAAACCAAGAGGTAATAATGGATGTAACCCTGCATACTCATGAATGCTAGCATAATGTCGCAAGCTATTATTTACTGACAATCAGTCCCTCCATTCCTTGAAATATAAGTTCTAGTAATATCTAGTACGTAGTCATAAAGGAAGTTTTCAATACGGAATTTGCTCATCAGCCTCTACCATATACATCTATTAGTGTAGTTTTGAACAGAAAACGAGTCATCCTTTTTACTTGCAGTACACTATTTGTATTCTGTCATATACAGCCACTGTGAAAAATACATTCATTAACAGGTAGTGGTGCTATGTTTTGTCTACACTGCCAGGGTAGCTGACGTGTTTCTTTACGTAAGAAGTTATGTTTACCACCTCATGTGTTACTAGAGATTATGAAGTGCTCATTAACACCAGTTTGATCTGAAAGTATGTCACAGTGTGAATCTTAAAATCCTCACCAAATATTTTATGTGAGGTGATGGTATGTGTTCGTTGTTAGAGGAACAATACAGATTTAGTTTTTTTTACAAAATAGTACACCAACTCGTAGCAATAAACCCAACATCTATACTCACACTCGTAGACCCTTGAATCAGACATGTACACACATACGCAAACAAACATATATCTGCTACAAAGGACATCTACAAATATTCATTTTTCCCACACACAATAACACCATGAAATCTCCTTCCCATAGCATCAGTATAATGCACAATACTCTAGGACTTTAAGGCGCACATACCCTAAGTAGCCCTTGAAGCCCTATCATACTCTAGTACATACCCTATGTAGCCCATGAAGCCCTATCATACTCTAGTACATACCCTATGTAACCCTTGAAGCCCTATCATACTCTAGTACATACTCTAAGTAGCCATTGAAGCCCTATCAAACTCTAGTACATACCCTAAGTAGCCCTTGAAGCCCAATCATACTCTAGTACATATGAAGCCCTTGAAGCCCTATCATACTCTAGTACATATCCTAAGTAGCCCTTGCAGCCCTACCTTACTCTAGTACATACCCTAAGTAGATCATGAAGCCCTATCATACTCTAGTATATACCCTAAGTAGCCCTTGAAGCCCTATCATACTCTAGTACATTACCTAAGTAGCCCATGAAGCCCTATCATACTCTAGTACATACCCTAAATAGCCCTTGAAGCCCTATCATACTCTAGTACATACCTTATGTAGCCCTTGAAGCCCTATCATACTCTAGTACATACCCCAAGTAGCCCTTGCAGCCCTATCATACTCTAGTAATACCCTATGTAGCCCTTGAAGCCTTATTATACTCTAGTACATACCATATGTAGCCCTTGAAGCCCTATCATACTCTAATACATATGTAGCCCTTGAAGCTCCATCATACTCTAGTACATATGTAGCCCTTGAAGCCCTATCATACTCTAGTACATACGTAGCCCTTGAAGCCCTATCATACTCTAGTAGATATGTAGCCCTTGAAGCTCCATCATACTCTAGTACACATGTAGCCCTTGAATCACTATCATACTCTAGTAAATATGTAGCCCTTGAAGCCCTATCATACTCTAGTACATATGCCAGCTTTTACCTTTTATCTTATAACCTGCAAACAAAAAACAAAACAACCCCTAACCGAAGCACTGTAAATAATCCCCCTTTTCACGCCTCTGTACACAGGTTCCCGAGACACAATCATCAGAACAAGAGAAGACAAAAAAGTAATTCTACACTCACTTCTGGAGTGACCTCCCTTACACCGCTCATAGAAAATATTCTTGCCATCTTATATTGCATCTAGATGCATTTTTCACCTATGCTAGGAGACAACTGATATAGGTATCGGCGGTTGTGTTCAGTTCATTTCGTGTACTTTGTAAACTAGAAAGGAAAGTTGAAATAAAATAATTAGACATACCGACCACTTACGTTTTACTTATAACAGGGAAACGATTAACTGTGATTTTCATGAATACATCTTGTGGCAACGATGTGGAATAATTTTGTGTTGTTAAACGTATAATTTGTCGTGTTTTAAAGACGGAAAATCTTATAAACAATGTCACACCCTTTTATAATGGTATCCTGATTACCACTCTTTAGATTTTTCCTAACGATACATGTATTGTAATAATCACGTTTTGTACACCTACAGCGGGTTCTTTTTTACTGAAGGCGCTATTCATTGGGAACAGCCTTAATGTAATAAAAATATAGGTAAATTATCTGCCTACTTGTTAACTAGTAACTATATGCTTTTTATAGAGTATCATTCATAAAGGCTTGTGGTACATTTTCTCCTGTATGTGCATCATCAGGAGGCTCGACGTAAACTATTTCGTTACCCTGACGATACTTGCAGTTGTCCCTATAGAATTCTGTTAAACATTTTCATTTAATTATCTAAGAGAGAGAGAGAGGTATAACATCATATATACATGTTTGTTGTAAAAACTCATTAAAATATTCAAAACAAAATGTATATATTTTACTTTAGGTCGCTTATCATAGATATTTTTCTTACTTGAATAGCATACATTTATCATTTATGTAAACCAAACAGTATGAGTTATAATCCTTTGTGATTATTTAGCGGATTGTTATGAGTTATATCCCTTTGTGATTATTTAGTGGACTGTTATGAGTTATATCCTTTTGTGATTATTTAGTGGATTGTTATGAGTTATATCCCTTTGTGATTATTAAGCGGATTGTTATGTGTTATATCCCTTTGTGATTATTAAGCGGATTGTTATGAGTTACATGTATATCCCTTTGTGATTATTTACCGGATTGTTATGAGTTATATCCCTTTGTGATTATTTACCGGATTGTTATGAGTTTCATCCCTTTGTGATTATTTAGCGGATTGTTATGAGTTATATCCCTATATCCCTTTGTGATTATTTAGCGGATGGTTATGAGTTATATTCCTTTGTGATTATTTAGTGGATTGTTATGAGTTATATCCCTATGGGATTATTTAGCGGATTGTTATGAGTTATAGTTATATCCTTTTGTGATTTTTTAGTGGATTGTTATGTGTAATATCCCTTTGTGATTATTAAGCGGATTGTTATGTGTTATATCCCTTTGTTATTATTAAGCGGATGGTTATGAGTTATATCCCTTTGTGATTATTCCGTGGATTGTTATGAGTTATACCCCTTTGTGATTATTTAGCGGATTGTTAAAAGTTACATGTATATCCCTTTGTGATTATTTAGCGGTTTGTTATGAGTTACATCCCTTTGTGATTATTTAGCGGATTGTGATGAGTTATATCCTTTTGTGATGATTCAGCGGATTGTTATGAGTTATATCCCTTTGTTATTATTAAGCGGATGGTTATGAGTTATATCCCTTTGTGATTATTAAGTGGACTGTTATGAGTTATATCCCTTTGGATTGTAATGAGTTATATCTTTTTGTGATTTTTTAGTGGATTGTTATGTGTAATATCCCTTTGTGATTATTAAGCGGATTGTTATGTGTTATATCCCTTTGTTATTATTAAGCGGATTGTTATGAGTTATATCCCTTTGTGATTGTTTAGCGGATTGTTATGATTTAATATCCCTTTTTGATTATTTCGCGGATTGTTATGAGTTATATCCCTTTGTTATTATTTAGCGGATTGTTATGAGTTATAGTTATATCCTTTTGTGATTTTTTAGTGGATTGCGGATTGTTTTGAGTTTCCTCCCTTTGTGATTATTTAGCGGATTGTTATTAGTTAACCCTTTTGTGATTATTTAGCGGATTGTTATGAGTAATATCCCTTTGTGATTATTTAGCGGATGGTTATGAGTTATATTCCTTTGTGATTATTTAGTGGATTGTTATGAGTTATATCCCTATGGGATTATTTAGCGGATTGTTATGAGTTAACCCTTTTGAGATTATTTAGCGGATTGTTATGAGTTAACCCTTTTGAGATTATTTAGCGGATTGTTATGAGTTATATCCCTCTGTGATTATTTAGTGGATTGTTAGGTATGAGTTATATCCCTTTGTGATTATTCCGTGGATTGTTATGAGTTATACCCCTTTGTGATTATTTAGCGGATTGTTAAAAGTTACATGTATATCCCTTTGTGATTATTTAACGGTTTGTTATGAGTTACATCCCTTTGTGATTATTTAGCGGATTGTTAGTAGTTAACCCTTTTGTGATTATTTAGCGGATTGTTATGATTTATATCCCTTTGTGATTATTTAGTGGATTGTTATGAGTTATATCCCTATGGGATTATTTAGCGGATTGTTATGAGTTAACCCTTTTGAGATTATTTAGCGGATTGTTATGAGTTAACCCTTTTGTGATTATTTAGCGGATTGTTATGAGTAATATCCTTGTGATTATTTAGCGGATTGTTATTAGTTAACCCTTTTGTGATTATTTAGCGGATTGTTATGAGTTAACCCTTTTGTGATTATTTAGCGGATTGTTATGAGTTATATCTCTTTGTTATTATTTAGTTGACTGTGATGAGTTATATCCCTTTGTGATACAAATTCTTATTTTGCTTAACTTTACATGTATATCCCTTTGTGATTATTTAGCGGATTGTAATGAGTTATATCCCTTTGTGATTATTTCCCGGATTGTTATGAGTTTCATCCCTTTGTGATTATTTAGCGGATTGTAATGAGTTATATCCCTTTGTGATTATTTCCCGGATTGTTATGAGTTTCATCCCTTTGTGATTTTTTAGCGGATTGTTATGAGTTATATCCCTTTGTGATTATTTAGCGGATTGTTATGATTTAATATCCCTTTGTGATTATTTCGCGGATTGTTATGAGTTATATCCCTTTGTGAATATTAAGCGGATTGTTATGAGTTATATCTCTTTGTTATTATTTAGTTGACTGTGATGAGTTATATCCCTTTGTGATTATAAAGCGGATTGTTATGAGTTACATGTATATCCCTTTGTGATTATTTAGCGGATTGTTATGAGTAATATCCCTTTGTGATTATTTAGCGGATTGTTATGAGTTATATCTCTTTGTTATTATTTAGTTGATTGTGATGAGTTATATCCCTTTGTTATTATTAAGCGGATTGTTATGAGTTATATCCCTTTGTGATTATTTAGCGGATTGTTATGAGTTATATCCCTCTGTGATTATTTAGTGGATTGTTATGAGTTATATCCCTTTGACTATTGATATATGGTATCCAGCAGATTGGTAAGGCAAACATATAACAATAAGGAAATAAAAAGTGACTTTCCCGAGATTGTTTTAAGTAGCACAATTCATGAGAATCTTAGAAAAGGAAATATTGTGAAGTCTCGATAAATACATGTATCCAGTTTTATTCACAACAATGTGTTCCCTCAATTGGTTGATACAACTCTTCTATATGTGCGACTGTTTTGGTGACTTGATATGTAATGTATTCCATCCAAACATGAATCCAGAAAATAGAATACAGCCACATTTAGCTATAAGTCGGTTTCGACAGTGTACTTATCCACGACAAGGTCGGTCGTTAGTTATCATCACTGGCTTTCCGTAGTCAAACATCGATTGACAATGTATGATACACGAGCAAATTGCGTATTCATTTTTTCCACAATGTTTGGTTTCGATCACAGCTACTTCTACATATTATTTTTATTTAAATGTTATTCTTGTTCTAGTTTATATGTATCCACTGGGAAGGTTGAATCGTTGAAAGCATAAACATTGCTCATGCATGACCCATATATTTCAGGGAGACTCATAGCTTAATTAATTAATCTAGTCCGGTTTGGAATCGATAACGGGAGAGTAAGAACAATGGTGTACGATATTGTCAGGAGACAACAAAGGAGACAAAATTAAAAGATGGAAAGCAGACATGAGCACTAATCAACATGGTATTCGCCCATTTGCCCACTGATCACCAAGGTATATGATCAATAAGGTATTAGGACACTGATCATCACGTTATTAAGAACACTGATCACCAAGGTATTCGGACAATGATTACCAAAGTATTTTGACAATGATCACCAAGGTATTCGGACAATGATTATCAAGGTATTGGGGCAATGATTACCAAGGTATTCGGACAATGATCAACAAGGTATTCGGACAATGATCACCAAGGTATTCGGACAATGATCACCAAGATATTCGGACAATGATTACCAAGGTATTCGGAAATGATCACCAAGGTCTTTGGACTATGATAACCAAGATATTCGGACAATGATCACCAATGTATTTGGACACTCATCACCAAGGTATTCGGACACTCATCACCAAGGTATTCGGACACTCATCACCAAGGTATTTGGACAACGATCACCAAGGTATTCGGACAATTATTACCAAGGTATTCGGAAATGATTACCAAAGTATTTTGACAATGATCACCAAGGTATTCGGAAAATGATTACCAAGGTATTGGGGCAATGTTTACCAAGGTATTCGGACAATGATCACCAAGGTATTCGGACAATGATCACCAAGGTATTCGGACAATGATCACCAAGATATTTGGACAATGATCACCAAAGTATTCGGACAATGATTACCAAGGTATTCGGAAATGATCACCAAGGTCTTTGGACTATGATAACCAAAATATTCGGACAATGATCTTCATGGTATTTGGACACTCATCACCACGGTATTTGGACACTCATCACCAAGGTATTCGGACAACGATCATCAAGGTATTCGGACAATGATTACCAAGGTATTCGGAAATGATTACCAAAGTATTTTGACAATGATCACCAAGGTATTCGAACAATGATCACCAAGGTATTCGGACAATGATCACCAAGGTAGTTGGACAATGATAACCAAGATATTCGGACAGTGATCACCAAGGTATTTGGACACTCATCACCAAGGTATTCGGACACTCATCACCAAGGTATTGGGACACTCATCACCAAGGTATTCGGAGTTTACCAAGGTATTCGGACAATGATCACCAAGGTAGTTGGATAATGATAACCAAGATATTCGGACAGTGATCACCAAGGTATTTGGACACTCATCACCAAGGTATTTGGACACCCATCACCAAGGTATTCGGACAATGATCCCCAAGGTATTCGGACAATGATCACCAAGGTATTTGGACACTCATCACCAAGGTATTCGGACAATGATCACCAATGTATTCGGAAGTGACCACCAAGGTATTCGGACAATGATCACCAAGATATTGGGGCAATGATTACCAAGGTATTCGGAAACGATCACCAAGGTATTCGGGCAATGATCACCAAGGTATTCGGACA